CTTGTATTGACCAGCAATAGCACATTGAAAAGGAAAAAGAGTAAAAGAGTCATGTTATATTAGCTACGGATAAAGATGTGTAGCTGAGCAGCAAAACTGTTTACTTGGCATTTTGTTGCTGCTTAAACAGTTCATCCTGGATGTATCTACAATGTGTGAATACTGCACTATCAATGGTATTCAACAAATGAATGCCCAATGGCGTTGTAAATTATATTTAATTTAGATTATTTAAATGTATTGGATGTCATGCATAATTAATTTAAGAGCATATACATGTGTTTATATTCCTATGTTTACATACAAACCACATACCATTAGGCGCGTTCACACTATGGTTCACACCAAGTACTTTTCCCACAAAGGTTCCTGAGAACTCTTTAGTTCTCATGAACTAATAAATACAGATCGCGTTCACACCGGAAATTAGTTCCTGGGGGTGGATTAGGCAAATTAAGCCGCTGATGTCACTTCTTCTTCTTCTGCTTTGGGTTTACTGGCAGGCCGCAAACAACTTCACGGCGTATACTGCCGCCCAAAATCCCCGGCCGGAAGTCTCCGGAGTTAGGGACTAGCTTCAGTAGAAGCTGCTGGGACTCCCAGCAGCTTCTACTGAAGCCTTCCGAGTAAATCGCCAGAACGCCGACACCTCCTCATCTCCACCGCTCCCATGTTTTATTTTGTGTTGTCATAAATTAGTCTCTCTGCGTTTCTGCGCTGGGCTAATGCTAATGCTAATAATGCTAATGCGAGGATAATAAAATGGCGGCTTCACAAAACTTTTTGGGAGTTTGACGGGGCGTGGTTTGCAATCCGCCCAGCCAATCAGACATAGGAACCGTTTTCTCCCACGAAAGTCCCTGCTCTCTAGCACTGAAAAGGGGGTAAAAAAGGTTCTCATGAACTAATTTAGTTCCTGGGGCTTGTTGGTGTGAACGCAACTAAATCGTAGTTCTCAGGAACCTTTGAAGAAAAAGTACTTCGTGTGAACGCGCCTATTGGGCATATTGTCTGGATAGTTTTTTTGAAGTTTGTGGAATTATATCCTGAAGTGAAATTAAATGTTATTTTGTCTGAACGCTCATATTTAGAGATTCAAGTTACAAAAACAAAATACACAAGAATAGTTGCCTTAGTGCTAACTTGTGTTACAATGATATTTATAGAAATCATAAATGAGGTTACCTCAAACAGCTCCAACATTGAAACGCTGCTGATATTTTTATAAATCAGTAATATTTATCAAGTGATTATGTTCATTATAACACACTGAAAGAACTGTCATTTGTATTTGTGTTTTTCATAGGGTGTTTATTTTTAATGAGTAAAGGATATATCTATATGATACCTTTACCGCTGGATCTCATACTTAGGGTCATATTGTCCTTCTGATTCTTAAAACCCAGAGCAGGACACTCACTCACTTTAATGGAGCTGTATTGACTAAAACTGCCAAGTGGAGAGTGCAAGTATGAATAGGGTGAAAGTGACGTCCACTGATTGGAGCTGAGGGACAATCTTATAGGAACACTGCATTAATAGAAGGAAGGAAAACCACAGCCTTTTCTCCATATGCATCTGATATGCTAAGATGTCTGCATAAAACATATCTAGGCCTGTTAGGGTCATTGTCAGGAACAAGAGTGAAGTATTCTTATTGGATAAGCAGTTCATATTCATGGCTAATTGTGGTGCCTTAAGTTTTCTTAAAGCTCTATATTGTCCAATCCTGCTTACATATGCAGGAGGTGTGCACCATGTATGTACAGTACATGTATAATTAGTACTCCTCATTGGAGGCGAAGCAAAACTGTCTTCACTCTGACTGTGTGCTGTAATGTATGAGTAGCACAAACATGTCATTGAATAGCTTTTAATTTATTTTATATGTATTTTGATCATGTCACTCACTTTGCACACAATAGTACAATAAGCCACAATGTAAGGGTATTGAAGTAAGGTTGAATGTACAAGTATTCGAAGAGCATGGCTCTTTCATTAGCAAATAAATTGCTGTCCCCGGTTACGTTTTGGAATTGATCAATGCCAATGGCCCCGAGGCCTGACACAAATTCTGACACACCACAGAGGCAGCTGTGAAAAGAGCTGTGGACTACTCTGCAGCCAAACCGTTGCCCTTACACGTTCAAGTAATATGCACTGGGAGACGTGTAAAAATGACATTTTGTGTCAAAAATGTAATTACCTCACAACAATCAGGACTCTACATGCACATGGCAACATCACAGCCAGACAATGGGCTCACAGCACCTCATTAATCAGCCAGTGTGTAAAGGATCAGAGGAAAGAGACAGGGATCAAGATGAGTCTCAGTGGAAATATGCATCACAAATAACTTTTTATTTGTCTTGGTCCCTGTGTTTCATGACAGCTGTTACTGTAAATCACATGCTGCCTTCAAAAAATGTACACAATATGCCTAATGGGGTCCCATAGTGTTTAATCAGGCATTTGAAGGCTGAATCTATGCTTTTCACCCTCAATCTTGAATCATTATCTTCCCTCCACTTTTAAAAGACTAATTTCAGCTGTGCTTTTTAATATGGCGTGTCAGGATAAATCAATATGAGCACAGCATTCCTGGTTCAATTCTGTCTGGGGACCTTTGTTATGTCATCCCTCTCTCCTCCGATGTATCAAGTATGTAGACAAATGGAATCATTTTTTCTTTTCCTGTTAACTTTATAAACCTCACATAACTGAGTGAGGTTTCCATCAAAGTGTATATCTGAAAAGGTCAAAACTGCAAAAATGTTAACTTAAGCCTATGTCAGTAATTCAAAATTGTCCAGGAGTGGACCTGTCAGTGTGAGTCCGTCTAAGGTGTACATTTGCTGATCCACAAAAGGAAACTAAAAAAACTCACAATGTACAAAGGATGTACAAAAACCAATAGTTTTTCTACAGAACCCGAGAAACATTGTGGTCATTATTCTTTCTTTCATTATCCTGTTATCAACCTAACCAGAGTTGTTACCATTCAAGGCCTAATGTTACAATGTTAATGTACACAACTCAATGTATTCCTTCTTGCTAAATACAATATTTATGCAAATCGATTTCCCATTTTGGTGAATCTAACTTCCCACTGTTCTTCTCTGCATGTATCTGTGGCCTTTCAATCACAAAGTAATAGCTAGACCTCCCACGCTCTGTAATAAAAGCCTCTCAGATTGCACAGTTGACAACTGGAGAGTTGCCAACTGTGTTGACACTAATAGTGATCTTTAGACTCAACTGAAAGCCATATAATTAAGGTCCAAGACTTCTGTAAGTGGCAACCTGAAAACAAACTGCATTGTGGTTTCTAGGTTTTCTTTTTAACCCTTTTTCCTCCAATGGACTCCTTCACACTGTTGAAATCTTGGTTTTGATGTTGCTTACATTCATGTCTTCAATTAAATGTTTTCTTAAAATTCACACACAAAAGATCACAGTAAATGTCCAACTTACTGTACGTCAAAACCTGAATCAAATGCTTAAATTGACCTAATATCTGTTTTCATATTCATTAAAATGAACTGAATCACTGAATATGTATGCTCTTGGCAAATTCCAAAGACTTTTGTATTATTAAACTAACTGTCATCATGAAGCTTTTGGAAGTATTCATATCCTCTTGGACAACACAGTTTTTCATGAATTTCAATCAGCATTTACATAAAGTATTGCTTGGCAGAGCAAACAAATTATTTGATTTACTTAGCAGGGGCCTTGGTATTTTGGTTTTAAAACACTGTACCATCAATCATTTAAACATCTTGCAATGAATCAGTGTTGTTTTAAATAAGAGTTAAATTAGTATTGTTCCTGCATCAAACAACATCCCTCTCCTTTACCCTGACTGCAGATGCAGTCAAGAGCATCCAGTTAATAGTGAGAATATGATGTGAGGGTAATCTTTTGAAGCTTTTCCACGTATTTGTCTGTGAACACTAAAAATAACTTCAGAATGTGAGAAAGTGTGAAATGGAATAATTATTTTTCCTATAGTATAATGCATTCACACAGTGCCACACGTGAGACCTAATGAACTGCAATCACTGCATTATTCTGCAGTGTAGTTTGACGTATAGCGACAATATCCCGTGACTGACCTCTCAAATTATACATGTCCATGATTCAGTATCATTTCAATATTTATTGCAAGTAAAACATTGAGTTTTTAGAAAATTCACATTACTGTGAACTGGGGATTTTTGATTGACATCTCATATTATCAGATGGCTGTTTTTTCAAAAAGCTAAATGATTCTGAGCACGTGCAACTGTACAGTGATAGACATAGACATAATCTGTTGAACTCGATTGATTTGATGAGGTCATGTAAAAGTTCCAGTGTGGAGGTTACCAGGGCACTAAAGGCCATGAAAGCAAATAAAGGATGCTTATTTGATGTGAACATTAAGATGTCTGGGGGGAACTTCAGTCTGTTGGTTGTGAATATTAATTTGACAGAAAGGGGGAGAGTCACTTCAGATACAGGACTGTACAATTATATTCTCTGTGGTGAACAGTGAGGTTGATTTAGGAGAACACACAATTTTGATGGTGGTTGAAAACTCAACTGAAGGAGGGTAGGTTTAGCCATATGGGCTTGAAAAGATTGTGTCTTTGTATTTTACACACACTACTTGCAATATTTCAATATCCTGTTTGTGGCTTCTTCATGCTGTTGACACAAGATCATCTGAAAGGTCACAGGAGATAAAGGTATACACTGTGGGCTGGCTGATAGCAGGAAGAGGGAAAGCTTAGTCCATCTGGTATTTATGAAGTTTAAAACAGAAGCCACAAGTATCAATCAATCTCTTTCATCGTGTGTGCCATTCGTGCGTCACTGAGTGCGCACTGCTCCCTGCCTGCCTGCCTGCTTCTGCTGCTGCTGGAGGAAAGGAGGTGCGCTCACACCCACATTCAACAGGCAGTGTGGGCTACTTGTTACATGTTTCACCGCGTTTATATTAATATTGATTTAAACTGAAGAGTGCAGAACGATTGGAGACTTTCACTGCAGGGACCTAGGGAGGAGATGTGCTGTTTTTAGGGATGGTAATGTAATTAAGTTGCGCGCAATGGTACATAGACACAAATATGCTCTCTCCATTTGAGTTTTCAGCTTAGTAAGTAGCTCATACTCGTGAAACTACTAACACTTTTAAGTTTCGCGGAAAGGAAAAAAACTATGGCAGCTCCACACAACGGATCCAACATAACGGGGAACTACACTAACCAGTTCGTGCAGCCGCCATGGCGCATCGCTCTCTGGTCCGTAGCCTACAGCTCGGTGCTGGCGGTGGCGGTGTTTGGAAACCTCATCGTGATATGGATAATCCTTGCCCACAAGCGTATGAGGACTGTGACCAACTATTTTCTCCTGAACTTGGCGTTTTCAGACGCGTCAATGGCCGCATTTAACACTTTGATCAACTTTATCTACGCTGCCCACGGGGAGTGGTACTTCGGGGAAGGCTACTGCAAATTCCACAACTTCTTCCCGGTCACATCCGTGTTTGCAAGCATCTACTCCATGACTGCGATAGCTGTGGACAGGTGGGCATGTCAAATGCTGCAAGGAAATTATTAAAAGAATGGGATATTATGTTGATTTGTCTTCAAGCCACCACTCTTTCTATACTATAGTTGGTAGCTTATGTGTGTGTGGAACATTTGTATTGTAATAATGACGATTTAAGATTGTTAAATGAAAATCTAAATCTAATCTGCATTTTGATACATTGATAATCAATTAATTTGTGGTGAAGAGGGTTAAATCAATAAAGCCACTGAGGTAGGTTAATACATTGTATTGCACAACCATTCAAAGACCTGACCATCAAAGAAGAGATGAATCTTTGGGATCAAATGCACAGAGTAATGTTTTCCAAGAAAGAAAATCTGTGTCCCTTAAAGACTTTCATATCAAGTGCTTCAGCATGATGTTTCGGACATCTTTTTTCTGATTATTCCACTTGGTCACTTTCCAGAAGAAGTGGTGGAAAATGTAATCTGGTGCTTTAAAAATAGAAAAACGTACATCAGTGTTAAGTCTAGCTTGAATAAAAGCTGCACTCCATTTGGCAATGCTTATGCAGTTCAACTGATGTAATGTTCTAGCTCATGCCTTCTTGCTCGCAGGAACTAACTGTATGGAGTCCCTATTAGTTTAATTATTATTGTTCCAATAGAGTTAGTGCTGATTTTAGTAGCCTTTACATTCATTTCAGATCATTATGGAAAAATGGAAAGGCACTTTCTCAGTCCATCCACCTCCCCCCAATCAGCCTATTCCTAACATTTATTTTTACATTTCACTGCCAATTAATCTTAGATTCAAGATGTTGTTTCTGAAAGAGTCTGCAATGCAGTCACTTACTGTTTGTGTGCCAACACCCTTGAAAAGATCCCCCATGCCCATCATGCTTTACACCCTCTGATTCCCTGGTTTTCTACCATATGAACTCCTATTATTCATCTTCTTTCCTCTTTCACACTTCTTTATTCTTTGTTCCTCCAATCTCTATCTCTTTCCTGGCGCTGTTGTTTACAGTAATGTGTTGATGCAGTCATCATTATCAGCCGGGCTTTGATACTGTTCAGTGAGCCATCATATGTCATACTGTTTGAATAAAGGGATTTGACTGATGAAGGAAGAAGCCACAAGCCGAACATAATGAAAACAAAATGGGTTTAGAATCTCCATGCAGGCACAGTGTGTGTCCACAGCTAGTGTTGAAGTGTCACAGTGTGTTTGGGTGTTGTGCGAGGTGTTGTCCTCCTCCGGTACTTCTCCTTGACACACAAAGGGAGGAATGCATTTCCTGAAGCCATTCTCATTTTGGCTCCTCTACAGAAGCTTCCCTGGGTTTATATTTTTGGCCTGCAATGTCTGTTTGATTCTGTCACTGTGTACTAAGATAGGGAACATCGGAATGACCTAGATGATGCAGATGTAACCTCCGGTCATGCTTTCCCTAACCCCACTATGGTGCTGTCTCCACGCTGATGTTTTGAAATGGCATGAGGCCACAGTTCAGAATCATCTGTGAATTTGTCCTTATTGTTGACTCTCTACTGGCCAAGTGTGTTTCCATAGGCACTGAAGCAAAGTTAAAAGATAACTGGCGAAGCCTTGAAGCTTTTTTGATAAAACAGCCAGTGCCTTTTTCCATTCCTCACACCTTTTTATCTTCTTCTGTGGATGTATATACACTTTATTATCGTGTGCAGGTAGAACTGAAGAAGGGGTCAAAGGCAGACATATGATCATAACTGTAGTTTATTGGTTAAATTGGTCTGGTTTTTGAAATATGCATCTGTGAGATTCCTGCCTCCACCCTAATACAATGTACTGTAGGTTAATGGGAATTTGCTTCAGCAGCAAAACAAACAGCAACATTCCTTTCATGAGACAATAATCCTGTTCCTCTGGAAGATCCACATCATTTGCCTTAACTACTTCCGGGATTAATAATAGTCTGAGCTCAAATAGTCAAAATCATTCAAACCTATGTATTTTCCTAACCACTTTTCCTTGACTTGATGGGAAACGTAATGAGGTAAAGGACAGATGTAAAGGATAATCCAAAGGATTTAGGAAAAGATACACGGTGAAATGAGAATCTGACTGCCCTTTTTTAGCATATTTATTCATTAAACATAGAACAAAGTCTGCCACAGTGAGAAATGCACTACAATTCAAGAACTATTTATTTATTTAAATGTACCTGCTGCTAATAGTTGTGTGATGGCATTTTCTCCTTTCCTTTGGTAAAGGATGCTCTAGTGTTCCCATTGCTAATGTAGATAGAGAGAGGAAGCAACTTTAGCATTTATTGAATTTCTTATCATGGCTGCCAATTAATACTCAAGAATCGTTTCACGCAGTTATAAATCCTCCTTCAAAGTAAACAAAACTATTAATCGGAAACGTATCTCTTTGACAACTGTAAACAATGATATCTGCAAAGTTATGTATAATGTGGACTTTGTTCCTGGGAGATGTTTTTTTATGGAATAGTTTATTACAATGCTGTCAGCAACACAAATAACGGTCATTCACTACCTTTGTATTGTGTGACAGCAGAAGTATCGGAGGTGGATTAATCCAAACAAGAAAAACTCAAGCTATCTGCATTGCTCAATACCATTAGTGTTGTCATTTGAACTAACCATTTAAGTATTTTATTAAAATATGCTTTGAAGTAAGTGTGGCAGAAACATCAAACACACTCCTCTCCTCTGAGAACATGTAAGCCAACACCAGACATTAAGCTGTCTGCAAAATGATAGATTCTCACGCTGGTAGTGTCATCCGGTAATCTCTGCGTGTTAAACACCAGGCGGTGATAAAGTGAGTGTTTAGCTTGTGTTGTCACAGCACAACTTTTCTAAACAATACGTGGCCTGTAAGTTGTCATGCAGCTTAAGGCATAACAGACTCCCAGGTTGAACAAAAAAGGTGAAATTATTTATTAATTTGCTGTTTTAATGTCTCTGTGATCTTAAAATGTGTGATTGGAAACCGAACAGGACTGTGTGTGTGTGTGTGTGTGTGTGTGTGTGTGTGTGTGTGTGTGTGTGTGTGTGTGTGTGTGTGTGTGTGTGTGTGTGTGTGTGTGTGTGTGTGTGTGTGTGTGTGTGTGTGTGTGTGTGTGGGTCTTCATATTTTTCTCGTGTTTCAGGCTCAACTTGCCTGTCTTGGGCAAAGGGGAGTTGCATAAAGCCGGATGAGGAAAAATGAAGATTAGCTTTGTTTAGTGGTTTAAGGTATATTAGTTCAGCCACCATTGTGCAAGCTCCTTGGATTGGACTGTGTGGCACATACTTGATTGGATATCTAATAATCTGTTCACACACTGCCAACCACAAGGGCCGTGAATAAATGCCAAGCAATTACTGGTACATAAACGGGGCCTTCTTGTTGTTGTTCCTCAGAGAGTTCCAGTCATTGAGGTGACAGGACAAGACCCATTATTTACCATGTTATGCAGATACATTTGCATTTCAAAGCCTGCGTTAGCAGCTATTGGAAATCATGAAGCATCCTGACATTGGTTAATGTCCAGCTGGTAATCACTTTCCCGTTCTGAGACCTTCACTGTTAGGCTCAAACTAAATCTGGAGCATGCATCAATTTCTCTGAAGAATCCAGCATCACAGTGTTAGTGGACTTTTACAGACAGAGAGACAGAAAACATAGTATATTATTGTTGTAGAAAAAGCGTTTGAAAATCTTGAATCATAATGATTTTTTTTAGAAATGTCTATTCAAGCTTAATCACATACAGTTGTGCGTCCCAAGATAAATCTGAGAGTTTGGCAAAATAGAGTGATGCATATATGAAATTATTCTTTTTTTACCTCTTGAGTAGAGTGAACATCCTTAAATAAAATACTGAAAAAGAATGTGAAATTGCTCGTACACTAGCAATAATCTATAATGCCATAACCTGTCCAAGTTGGTGTCAAACGCTTAACCACTCTTAAAGTATACCTGAATAAACAACAACTAAACAGGGAAGTGCCTTCCATGGTAAATACAGAGTAAACCAATCAGTTATTTATTTTTCTTTATTTTATTGTAACTGAATCAGCAGTCATTCCCCTAGGCTCCACAATATATGTTGTCGAGGCTTTCAACATAATGATCTCTTTCTCATCTCTTTCCTGCAGGTACATGGCCATCATCTATCCTCTGAAGCCTCGTCTGTCAGGGAAGGCCACCACAGGAGTTATCATCTGTATCTGGAGTCTGGCCATTGTGCTTGCTTTCCCTCTCTGCTACTTCTCCACCACCCAAACTCTGCCCCGCAGGACCCTCTGCTACGTTGCCTGGCCCCGCATGGCTCAAGACCCCTTAATGTGAGAAACATTTTGTAGTCAACAGTATTTCATTCAGTAATTTCAGCCTCTGCTAACCGTTGCATCAGCTTGGTTTAAGTTCCAATGTTGCTTATTTTAACAGGTTGTCGTCATTTTTTTGTAACATAAATTAGGATATACCATACATTTTATGTGTGATACAGCCATCCTCAACTCAGTAAACATTTCGAAGCACAACATACCAATAATTAATTGGTAATGTGAATTGCTTGCAATACAAGGATGCTGCCGTCTTAAAGGTCCCCTATTATACTGTTTTTCATCAATATTATAGGTCTCAGATATATACAAAACATATTTCTGAAGGGCTTGGCTCGAAATACCAAACAGGTCATGCATTGTAGCATCCCATAAACCCCTCTGTTTCAGCCCTGTTCCAAAAGTGCTGATTCTCTGTCTGTTACTTTAGATGAAAAGAAGGAGCCACTCCCCACGCCCCTCTGAGAGATATTTGGTTAAAAAGAACACAATAGTGCTCTAGGAGGAGATTCAGGTGATAAGGTGGGCGGGGTTACCTTGGTTGGTTATTGGCTAATGGTTACACAAGCCAAAAAAATGACATCATAAAGTGGTCAAAATCTGATCAGCTCCTTTTCAGACAGGTTTTTATATAAATGGATCACGACAGAGAGAGATCGAATCTTTTTCCTAAAAACGTTCAGAATCTCTTAACACAGAGGGGACACATATTTATGTATAAAATACATGAAAAAGTTGATTTAGGTGACCTTTAATTTAAAGGGTTCCCATGCCCCCGAGAAAAACCCAGAAGAGTTTTCTGATCTTACTTTTCTTTACCCATCCGTCCAGTCCGACTTACACAGACTTTGCTACTCTACAAACATGTCACCTGGCTCTCTCCTTTGCATCTTTCCATAATTACTACAAACAGCATTTGGTTAAATATACTGTATTTTGTCATGCGGCATTTGCTTAAAATGACTGACACTGTCTTTACTATGGACAGTCTCAATCAATTACAAAGTAACAGTCTGTTTGTCTAAGTGGTGACTCTCAAAATGTAGATAAAAACGACATTCCTCTGGCGCAACAGGTCCCATAAGTACATGAGGCTGAGTAAATAGTAGAATAAAGTGACTGTTGAAAATCAAACAACTCAAAATATTTCATAAATGCAAAAGCTCTCCTTTCTCTTCCTTTTCCTTCATAGGTATCATATCATAGTGGCGGCCCTGGTCTATGTGCTGCCCCTAGTGGTGATGGGCATCACTTACACCGTCGTAGGGTTGACTTTGTGGGGAGGGGAGATCCCAGGAGACTCATCTGATAACTACCACGGACAGCTTAGGGCTAAAAGGAAGGTAAGCATGCTTGCGTGGTAATAATACACCATTAATTCAACAATTCAGATATGACCCGGGGCATCCCAATTAGTAACTGTGAACATGATGATCTTTGAATGCCACTAGTCAGAGAACGAGGCATAATCTGTAATGTTCTGCCACTGAGCAGCCTGAAGACAATTTGAGCCAATATGCCATAGACTTGACATAGAACTGGGAGATCTCTTTCTTTATACAACTGGAAGGCATTTAAAACGTATATGTCACAGCAGAACAATTATCCACCTTGCTGTTACTTCTTGCCTTTAGGATTTATGCCTATAGGCTATCTTTGTTAATTTGATTGCTGAAGCAAGAACATGTTTGGTCTAATTAGGGAAATCCCACCCCACTGAATCTAATTAAGTCTTAAGGTTATCCTGCTGATACTAAACTGATGCAAACATAACATCACTCTAAGGAGATAAGACCAAGACACAAGAAGGTTATTCTTAACACAATCTGTATCATTTTGAACAAATCGAAATAACTGGAAATAACTCCCTTTAAGCTCTCTGTTGTGTTTAGGCACAGACTGAAAACTCATCTCTTTCGACTCCACTTCGAGCGATAGAATTACTACCAAAGCACTTATATACTAATAAAGGGCTGGCTTATCTAAAGCCAGTTGAGTAGCACTTGAAATGTTTTTGCTCTATGAAACCTGATGTACTTATATGATTCTGTTTTCTTCAAGTTTGTATTTTGTTGGTCGAACGCACTTATTGTAAGTCGCTTTGGATAAAAGCATCAGCTAAATGCAATGTAATGTGTTTAATCACTTGAAGCTATATTACAGCTTTTCACTTTTCTTTAATGAGTATAAAACATGCAGCTCATGCAGGACTATTAAGAAACCTTAAACATTGTTTTTCTTCACTAAAGCAGGAAAACTTGGGTCTCTAAAGGAATACATAAAATAAATAGGAATATTGCATCTGATTCTCATGGTGGGATGGAAAAGCAAAAATAATTTAGATTAAGCTCAACAGATAATGAAATGTTCTTAGTTCCTCAGTGTTTTAATTATCTCTTAAGTTTTTCAACAATTAAACTTTTACTTAAAAGTGAGCACAACAGCTACAGCATATTGCTTAAAACAACAATAATTATTTTGTAAGCCTTTTGTATGTGTGTGCAGCAAGTAAATACACCTCACTGTGAACATTTCAGGGAAGGAAACCTTGATTTCTCAGAACAAAATGTGTGTGGTTGTCGCCAACACTCAATCAACTCCTTGTCCATGCACAGGGACAGGCACAGGCTCTGAAGACTAACAGCCTCTTAAGGCATTATTTGTTTGGAGGACATTTTTGGAGTCAAGGTCTTTATTTTTCTCAGCAGCTAATTCAAAACACACTTTAACAATAAGACGGCTACTGCTACAATAAAGAATGACTGTGAATAACTTGCAGCAGACAACACAAAAGGGTAAAGGTGGATACATCAATTACTAGAGCATAACTTGCAAGTTAAATATTATAATACTTCCTGTTTATATGTCCACTGGAAAACATTAATATGCTTCTGATTTGGTCACCTCACTATATAATTTCCCTTTGGCTACGCGAGCTCTGGAGCACAAACAGAATTGTTGCCGATGAGTTCACTGTTGGAAGTGCTTTACCTCTACACACATTACTTGTATCCAATCTTTTAATAAGAATCAGTATTTCCGTGACCGCAGGGATCATCATTTCTGAGTCCTCCAGGCAGAAAAGGTTTCTATGGGGAGTGTGTGAAGATCAATAAGTGAAAGAAGTATTTGTGTCTGTGTGTGGATGTTGATGGTGCACAGGAGAATTCAGGTTGTGTCCATTTCTGTTTTTACTATGATACATCAAACAGGCTTTTCTATACACCCTAAGGGAGGCTGTTTGTGCCGCTATGCATGGGTTGTAACTCCGTATTTGTATATGTATATTCAGTATACTGTAGACTTTCAATATGAAAAAGCTATCTCATTTTACTATTTGAAAGAAGAGTGCCTGGGACCTCGTTTTGGACTTTTAGTTATTTCTTATTCTTCCACGCTACTTTCAAAAGCAGTTTGCCAATTATTTTGGGTTTAATGTCTGAATTTGAAATGTTAACATAGTTTTGAAGGATACATCTTTCATCCTACAGCCTGTCCTTACCACTGGTTTACAAGGTACAGTGTGTTATTCCTGAGGATGAATGTCATGAAGGTTGAGAGTTTTGTGCTGTCAAGCTTTAGTCAGAAAAGGTCACAGAAAGGAGAGAACAGCCTGGGGCCACACAGTCAAGCATCATAGCTGCAGCTCAAAAGCAAATGCTTTACCCTGCTCCAGTCTTGTGGCAATGAACCTTAAAGTATGTGTAAAACCTTTACTAGGTAAAGTTTAATTATCAGGTAGAGTCTGTCATCACGTTTAGTACCTACTGTATTTGGTATTGTTAGCATGGAGGTTATCTCCAATGCAATAGATTGCCATTATTGGTCACTTCTTAGATTTGGATGTTGCATAAGGCACCAAGCCCCACATTTGACAACCCGTTTTTACTTGTGGGCTCACACTCTCCAAGATTTCAAACCAACCAACTTTTTTCACCTATTATACATACACATTGTTTACCAAAATGTGTTTCTGAAATAATTTGAGGCCATAAAGCCATACCGTTTCAAAAGGCGTTTCTTCATTTTAGAATGGCAATGGTTCAGTTGAAAGCTGTCCTGGAGTTTCCAGAAGGAGTAGCTTGTGCTGGATGCTCCTGATTTGCATAAAGAAGCATAGAACCTACATATTGCACATTTAAAAGCAGCCAATGTGACACCCCAACTCTCAAAGTGTGGCGCTACCAGAATGCACTGCTAATCTGCTTACTTATGATTGTGACTGTGAACATTACATGTCCTGTGGACAGAAGAGTCTCCAGCTCTGGTTTTTGTCGATAGCAGTGCTGTTAGAAATACTGACTTCAGCATACCAACTGGCATTGGCACAATGGTAGCGCTCAAGATATGTAAAGTTGAACTTTATTTCTTATAGACCATGTTATTTTAAGTTTTAAAGTTTTAGCATGTTAACTAGACCCACTAGGCCCCCCTAATTCGATAAAAATCCAATTAATAGATGTTGATATAATTGATCAAATACACAAATATGTCAGCCTCATGGGGAATCTACAATTAAAGTTAAATGATCTGTAAGGATTAATTATCTGGGTCCATAAATGTCAAATGATGTGCTAAACTACTCAATCAATAATTTATTTATGGCCACATGGCCGAGGTCGGAAATGTATTTGTGGCATACATGGTGGGTAAGCTGATTACAGCAATGTCAGTAACATCAACATTGTAGACAGATATCAAAATCACATTAGACACATGACTAACACACAGGAATTATTCTTATATTGCCACAAGACAGATATTATTGAAAACATATATTTTTTTAAATGTGCAGTACATCACTTATGGATACATTAAAAGTGCACCTCTTAGAGGGCATCAGCGGGAAGGGTGGTGGGCAGGTTGAGAGGGGTCAGCATAATTTTCTCGCTATTGTTATTGTTTGTTTTGCATGCATTGATTCAATTGATGGTAACCTTAGTGGACATTTTTTCTTTGCCTCCATTACAAACTGTTATGAATGAGTTGATTATGCTCTGCGATGTCAAACTGAGAAAGATGGCTTTGTTTTATTTTATCTTTGCTCTGCTTTCTATTTTTGTCGCTTGTATTGGTGTTCCATTTGAGTGGTTTGCTGATTTGGGTGCCAAGAGATGTGTATGAGTCAGTGATGGTAATGAGTTATCCTGAAATATGTATATGGGTTTTCGAGAATGGGATATGCCTGAAATCTAAAATGATTTATTGTGTTTTATAATGTGTTATCAAGGCACCAAGTAGCTGTTGGGGCTACTGAACGATGGTATTTGTATTCTTTGTTGATAATGATCTAATTATGATTTTGTGAGATGAAGCAACCCTGGAAAGCACCTGTTCTGTGGGTTAAAGTTCAAGATGAAAGGCTATTAATCGTAACAGCTTCCAGGGCAACAAGTCCTCCAACTCATATGACCAAATAGGTCGATTGTTCAAGCGCTTATTACGACCTATAATCACGTTTTAAAGTTTTCGACCTCTAGTGCTCCCGTTGACTGCAAACGCTCCAGAGGGTCGTATATTCACAAATAATCCTCTCTGTAAAATCCTAAATTGTAGGATAGTTGGGCCATTAAAATGCTTTTTGATTAGATTTCTAGCGAGAAGTGTATATTGTACTTTTAGAATCCACGTCCAGTGGATGTGTAGGATCTATAGTATATTACGAAGATGATTTGAGGTCTCACCAGGAGAACGTGTAACGGCAGCGTCCATGTAAAGTTAGCGTCAACCCTCACGGGGTGAAAACAGTATTTCCGATCTCGAAGTTTTCATAATAAAACCGTATTCCTCTCACTGTCAAATGGTTTTAAAGCTATATCTGCAGTACTCATCCATTAAAAAACATCAGTTTATCCTTCATTGGTTTAAATTGTGTACACTGCTTTTGCGTTTGTCCCATAGGTTTTTCCCTTTCGATTCTGAGAGACACATTTCTTTTTTTAGAAGTTTTGATAGGCTAAAACATCGAAGTACCCATAATCCTCAGCTATCGTTGAAGCTCGGTGATTGGATGTTGTAGCCGCAATGCATGTTGGGATATGGTGTTTATGCGATTTGAAATCTGATAAACATAAAAAATAAAATACTTTATTCCGAGTGTGCTTGCTTTTCTCTTTGAAAGTCATCACATAACGGCATTGTAATACACGGTTCGGCTGCATTAAATATTACACATCTGCCGTAGTTCTTTATTTATAGAGCCCTGATTAGAAGACCTTTGGTCAAACTGAAATAAATGCCGCCGAAACTGAATACTTGACGTGGATCATTAATATATCAGCAATTAAACAACATCTTCAATTTCTCTTCACACAATACGTCTCCTTGCAGTATCAACTCTAAT